GGTAGAGGAAAGCAGGAGGGGTGAGGTACTTTTTGGAGAGGTACAGGGAACTGATCATTTTTCCAGCATCTTTCATCATGGATTGTATGTATGAGTTCCACTTGAGGTTTGGGTTTTAAGTCTCAATAGATGCTCATGGTACAGGGCCTCTCTGTTGGAACAGCCATTCATCAAAGTTAGTGAAAATTCTAGTTTGATTGGCTGATTTTAATTCTAAAACTATAACTCCATATTACTGTAATGAATGTAGAAATTTTGAAAAACAAACAAAAATCCATAAATGTAGTTAAAATGAAAGAATTGTCGACGTCAGACGTTTCGGTTTTAATAAACCATTTTCAAGACAAAATTCATTAAAATACAAATTCAGTTCAATATGACGAAAACGATGGACATAAAAAACACAAATATCGTTTTGGTCATATTGAACTGAATTTGTATTTTAATGAATTTTGTCTTGAAAATGGTTTATTAAAAACCCAAACGCCTGACGTTTACAATTTTTCATTTTAACTACATTTATGGATTTTTGTTTGTTTTTCAAAATTTCGACATTCTGTCGGATTTTATCCATTTACACTTGCTTATATACTGTAATGAATACGGGTTAGGTATGAACAGTCTAGAATTGTAATTGTTATTTTTAGGTAATAAATAATTATTTTAAAACTTTTAATTTATCTGTTGTAGCTATGGAAGTTTTGCCTAATTTTTTGTAAAAATTATTAGGAGATAATTTTTAATTTATCTGTTATAGCTATAAAATTTTTTGCAAAATTTTTAAATTATTATAACAAAGTGATCGCAGTTACAATAAGTATGTCTTTGTAATCCACTCCTGAGGATAATCTTGGAGGAGATCGAAAGAACTTGGATTCCAAACAACAACAGCACTTTCCATGATTAATTTCATCCTTATATATATATATATATATATATATATATATATATATATATATATGTGTGTGTGTGTGTGTGTGTGTATATATATATATATGTGTGTGTGTGTATATATATATATATATATATATACACACACACACATATACATATATACACAAACATATACATACACACATACACACACATATATAATTCAAAAAAATTAAACCTTTTCCAAAAACCAATATTTGTCCAAAACGGTTAAATTAATAAAAAAATGCTCAATACTATATTTAATAAATAATTTATGCCACACACACACACACACATATATTTTCTAAATGAGATCCTACTCATATGTATCCACACTTTATAAAATGTCTCATCTCATTTAAATTAATAAAGTTGTAAAATACATGTCAAATTCCTGTCCTTTTTGATTTTACTTGTGCTTTTTTTTCTTTTTTTTTTTTTTGATAAACAGGAATGGTTATCATTGCAAAGAATTGAATGATTCTTTCTCCAAATTTGCAAACAATTTCTTCTTACCAATCAATAATTCGTTGTTTCTGTATTTTCTTTGTTTTGTTAATTATTGATCAATATTAACATTAACTTTAATACAAAGCCTGATGATGACGAAGAGAAAGCTCATTTGTTTGGAAAAACAAAAACAAAAAAAGAAAAAATTTCAAGCAAAAAGAAGAAAAATATTTAAAATCAATATAACTTTATTTTTAACATTTTCTCCAAGAGTTTAATTCAGACCATTTTATTTGAATGGAAGAATTTAAATATTTCCATCTTCTAACTATGGCTTTGTGCATATATGCGTGAATGTAAATGCCTTCAGGTAGATAAACACACAAATCTAAATAGGTGTGTGTGTGCATCTGTGGACACACAGACACACATATGATAATTGATACTTAATGATTAATAACAATAATGAAAAAAATACACAAAATTTCTGCCTAAAAATGCTCCATAGATAACTTGAGCTATAATATTCAATTAATCGAGAAAAGTTCAAGTGACTTATCTTGTTTGCCAACTTGTGAGTTTTGAGTTGAAGCACTCATCAGATGCATGATAAATCTACTGAACTTATTAACAGATGCAGTGATGGCCCTAGGATTGCTGGCACCCCAAGCAAGCTGAACTTCGGCACACTTACAGGTATAACTTTTAAAACTTTTCACTGTGGAGTAATGGATAGTGGCTCAGATCGAGCTGAGTTTGAATTCCAGTCAAATCCATTACATTTACTTACCTGCTAATACCCTTGGGAAAGGTATGAATCCTCTTATTCTTCACCCAGCTATGGGTAAATAACAGGACAGACCAGATTTTATAGCCTCAGATGGCAACTGGTCTACTGCAGCAAGAAATGGCAACCTACTACAGGAAAAATCTACCTCGTCAATCATGTATTGAAAGATACATGATTGCCTAAGCATGAAACACGTAAGGCACATATCTGACTGACAATATACAACTTAATACAAACTAATAAAAACATTCATTAATTGACTTAAAACATTCTCTTTCTTGCCTTTAGAGATGCAAATTTTTTTTCATAGCACTTTCTATACCAAAGCCAAAGAATTTAATCTGTCTTGAGTCATGGATGACCGCAAGTATTTTTTTATATGCTTTAGTTTTGTAAGATTCCAAATACATGACATGATGGTATGATGCACCCCACTCGGCCTTGATAGCACCTCAGGCAACTGCTCAAGTTACCTGTGCCTTGAGCCATCGCTGAACAGATCTCATATTTATATTCTTTCATAACAAATGAACATGAATTTTAATTTTCAGATCTGAAATTCATAAAATGCTATATATATATATAATATATATAATTTTGTATGATTTTATATATCAACAAACAGTATTAAGAAAAATATGACAAACTGGAAAGGTTTTTTTTTTTTTTTACAGTTTCCAGTCATATTTTTCTAAATATGTATATTTTTTATTCATCTAATGACTGATGTCTTCATCTTTGTTATTTTTATCAGGAATAGTAATTTTGAGTTCAGTCTCTGTGCTGGGGTGCATAGACAGAAACTTAAAAAAAAACTTTTTAAAATATGATTAGATATCCTTAGATATAGTAAGTAGAATGAGAACATGTTATATAATATGCCAGGTGAAATGTCTGTCCAAATACTGAGTCATGGCTTACCTGCATATAAAATTCTGTGACATCCATAATCCGTCCCTCTAAAATAGCCATACATTGAGGGATCAAAACCAAATTTGGAGGAGAAATGCAAACAAGTAAGATTGGTACAAAGTACAATTGGTTTTACTGGGGTACATATTTTATTCATTTTTTGGGAAAAATTAATTTTTCATTATTTAACATACAAAATACTCCCACTATTTTGAAAACAATTTAATGATTAAAATAACAAATAATTATTTAATATAAAATGCAATATTTTTTTTTTTTTGCATATCATTTCTTTTAGTTTTTATATATATTTCATTTTGATAAAATATATTGCACACTTGACGAAAGATGTTAGCAATAACTTCAACAATACTAAATACTGTGAAGATTTCAATATTTGCCAGCATGTTGGAAACAAAATTCTAATCTTTTAAAAAATTCCCCATGTTGTATACAAACAAACAGGTAGAAAGTTGTATAAAAAACTTCAACAGAAAACATAGTTTTTGTAGGAGTTTACATGAAATGTTTTCATAGGGGAACAAAAATAAAAAAATAATAACAGTTATAGTCAAACTAATATCATCTTTGTCCTCATTATCACAAAGTTTCAGCAAAATGTTGTCATTTTACTATGTCCTCATCATATTATCACATTTCAGCATAATGGCCAAAAAAATTCTGATAATATCATTTAATGGATTTGTTTTTTTTTATGGCTTATCAACGTTTTGCATGTTATTTAAAGCCAGAAATTATTTTTAGATTGTAAGAATTTTTGGTGAGTAATAATCATTTAATGATAAAATCCCTACTAATTAACCCATAGCAGAGGGGAGAAGAGAGGGTTTCATACCTTTCCCCAAGGGTATTTGTGCATAAATGAATATAACAAACACAACTGGAACTAGAATTCAGCTCTTCAATTTTTGATTCAGAGTCATTATCCATTACACCACCTGCACATCCAATCTTACAGCACCTGCTATTCCCAAGCAATCACCCTATATACTGACCAGGTTCGACATTGCTTAACTGTTGGTATGAGAATCATTGCTTCAGTGTGATATGGCCATAAGCCTTTGTGATAGCATGGACAAAGATGAGGATATTAGTTCAAATATAAATAAAATAAAAACGAATGTTAGCTGAAATGTGGTTTAAAAAGTCTCTTATAGATTAATTCACATGTGAAGTATGTTCAGTCCTTACTGGATGCCCCACACTTTGGACCTTGTGCCAGACTATGACAAACATAGTAAATATTGAAGTTGACTAAGTTATAAATGTTTAGAAAGCTAGTCTTGCAAAACATTATATTACTGAAAGAATTACTAAATGCTCTGCAGATGTGACCTTGTGCCAGACAAAAGTAAGCTGCCTTCTGATAAACAAATGACCAGCATAGTCTCTCAGAATGTCAGAAAATTCTGCATCCAATTGTATTAATTGCCTCACATTATAGAAACAGAAAATTAAAGAGAGAGAGAGAGAGAGTGAAAGAAAAAAGAAATAAAACGAGAAAGAAAAAAGAAAGAAAGCGAGAAAGAAAGCGAGAAAGAAAAAGAAAGAAAGCGAGAAAGAAAAAGAAAGAAAGTGAGAAAGAAAAAGAAAGCGAGAAAGAAAAAAGAAAGAGATAGAGAGACAAAGAAAGAGATAGAGACAAAGAGAGAAAGAGACAAAGAAAGAGAGAGAGAAAGAGACAAAGAAAGAGAGAGAGAAAGAGACAAAGAAAGAAAGAGAGAAAGAGACAAAGAAAGAAAGAGAGAAAGAGACAAAGAAAGAGAGAGAGAAAGAGACAAAGAAAGAGAGAGAGAAAGAGACAAAGAAAGAGAGAGAGAGAGACCAAGAAAGAAAGAGACAAAGAAAGAAAGAGACAAAGAAAGAAAGGGGAAGAGACAAAAAAAAAAAAGAGGTAGAAATATAGAGGGAGATGAGATTTCTTTCATTATACTCAATTGTCTTCTTCTTCTATCTTATCTATAACTTTTTCTTCCTATTTCTCCCTTTCCTTCTCTTTCTACCTTCTTTTCCACTCTGCTTCTTGCTCTCTCCTACCCTTTCTCTCCCACAAAGTCTTTCATTCCCTCTTCAGTTCTTTCTCTCTTCAATATTCCCCTTCATCACCGCCATGTTACGAGTAAGCACAAATAAAATGCACCACCATTAATATTTACAATCAAATAATTTGAGAATTTCTTTTTTTTCAATGTTAACCCACAATTTTTGTACCCACTTTGCCTGCATAGCTTCCCCTATTTTATCCCAGATTTCGCAATATATACAATCAAAAATTCCCCCAATGTGTTTTCACCGATTCTTTTTTAACAAAAGAACAGTTTATTCTGAATTATATTTGCGAGGAAAATAATAAATTATATTAAACAGAAAAAAAAGCTAATAAAAATCAAGAAAACAAGGAAAATCCATTCATATCTATTTATCTATCTCAGCCCACTTCATATCTATCCATCTATTTATCTATCAATCGGCCCATATCTATTTATCTATCTAGCTAGCAAGCTAGCTGTTTATCTATTTCAGCCCACTTTATATCTATCTATCTAGCTAGCTACCAGTTTGTTCATATCTATCTCTCTATCTGTTCAAATCTATCAGTTTGCTCATATCTATCTATCTTTCCATCAGTTTCTTCATATCTATCTTTCCATCAGTTTCTTCATATCTATCTTTCCATCAGTTTCTTCATATCTATCTTTCCATCAGTTTCTTCATATCTATCTTTCCATCAGTTTCTTCATATCTATCTTTCCATCAGTTTCTTCATATCTATCTTTCCATCAGTTTCTTCATATCTATCTTTCCATCAGTTTCTTCATATCTATCTTTCCATCAGTTTCTTCATATCTATCTTTCCATCAGTTTCTTCATATCTATCTTTCCATCAGTTTCTTCATATCTATCTTTCCATCAGTTTCTTCATATCTATCTTTCCATCAGTTTCTTCATATCTATCTTTCCATCAGTTTCTTCATATCTATCTTTCCATCAGTTTCTTCATATCTATCTTTCCATCAGTTTCTTCATATCTATCTTTCCATCAGTTTCTTCATATCTATCTTTCCATCAGTTTCTTCATATCTATCTTTCCATCAGTTTCTTCATATCTATCTTTTCCATCAGTTTCTTCACATCTATCTTTCCATCAGTTTCTTCATATCTATCTTTCCATCAGTTTCTTCATATCTATCTTTCCATCAGTTTCTTCATATCTATCTTTCCATCAGTTTCTTCATATCTATCAATCTGTCAGTTTTATTCATATGTAAATATTTTTATATATCTGATTCAGTCTGTTCATATCCTTCCGCTTACCTATGACTATATCGATCAATCATTCTCAGCCTGTGACTATCTCTTTCAGACGAAGAGTAAGATAAATACATCTGTTCCAGAGAGTTCAGTGAACTAGAGAGATTCCATCAGATATTCTTCATATCTAGAGTGAGAATGAGAGAGTTAAATACAAACCGAAAGAGAAAGAATGATATAAACAGAGTGAGAAAAAGAAAGATAGATATGGTGAGAGTGAATGACAGGTAAATAGATATGAACAGAGAAAAAGAGAGAGAAAGGTAACTATCTCTTTCAGACGAGGGAGAAAGATAAATACATTTGTAGAGAGAGAGAAATCACAGATCTGAAGAGAGAGGAGAAAGAGGCAGATAGATATGAAGAGAGTGAGAATGAAACATATAAATACAAAGAGTGAGGGAGAAAGAATGATATAAACAGAGTGAGGAAAAATAAGATAGATATGAAGAGAGTGAGGGAGAAATAAATAGATATGAAGGGAGGAGAAAAGAGAGAAGGGAAAGTGAGGGATATGAGAAGATATGAAGAGGGAGGGAAATATATAGAGATATGAAGAGAGTGAGGGAGAAATATATAGAGATATGAAGAGAGTGAGGGAGAAATATATAGAGATATGAAGAGAGTGAGGGAGAAATATATAGAGATATGATCAGAGTGAGAGAGAAGTATATATAGATATGATCAGAGTGAGAGAGAAATATATATAGATATGATCAGAGTGAGAGAGAAGTATATACAGATATGAAGAGAGTGAGGGAGAAGTATATACAGATATGAAGAGAGTGAAGGAGAAGTATATACAGATATGAAGAGAGTGAGGGAGAAGTATATACAGATATGAAGAGAGTGAGGGAGAAATATATACAGATATATAGAGAGTGAGGGAGAAATATATACAGATATGAACAGAGTGAGGGAGAAATATATACAGATATGAACAAAATGAGGAAGAAAGATATACAATAAGAACAGAGGGAAAGAGGTAAATAGATATAAACAGAGTGAATGAGAGAGAGGTAAGTAGATATGGACAGAGAGAAACAGATAGGCTGATATAAAAACAGATATGCAAAAAATAGAAAAAAATGTCTATTTTTGCAGAAAATGTGAAAGAGTGAGGCTAATAGAATGTGATGAGGGTGGTGGTGATGGCTGGAAGTGTTGGAGGACAGTGAGGAGTTGGTATGGTGGGTAACCCCCTTGAGGTTGATAAGCAGACCACCAGTGATTTTTCCTAGCTATCACTGCTGGTGGCAAAGGGTTCCCTGCCTCCATCTTTGATAACAATGATGATGATGATGATGATGGTGGTGGTTAAATTTTTTTTTTGATTTTATTGCACTTGTTTTTGTTTTTTTACTGTTTATTTGTTCAACAGAAAGACAATATTACCGTTTTCATTTCAGATGCACACATTGAGAATTATAAATCTTAGCATGTGCATGAAACTTGAAATGACAAGGCTGAGAATACCATGGATAAAACATGTGAGCAACAAGGAAGTCTTAAAGAGAAATTTGAACTGAAAGGAAACTGGTGCTAAGAATCAGAATGATAGAGCTGAAATTTCTGGGATGCCTAATAAGGAAAGAGTTCTCAGAAAATTTAACACATACAGGGCAGATTTAAATTTAAAATACAAGAGTTGATTGATAAGTAATGTCTCAAAATCTATAAAGTTCAAGGTGAAATAGACTAATAAAACTGGTAATCAAAAAAAAATTTATATTTAAAAAAAAAAACAGTGCATAGTTACAATTAGTTAAAACAAAAGTCCAACACACCTATATGAATATAACACAATTTACCATATCCCATGAAAAGATTGAGAAAATAGTTCATGTGTAAATAATTTAAATAGTTTTGTTAGATTGAAATCTTTGCATAATGAATAGGTCTTGGAGCAACTTTTCACTTCAAACTTGGAAAATATTTAATAATTTAAAAAATAATGTGTATTGTAGTCACCAGACCACTTATATGGTTTCTAGAAGATCTGTCATTTTTTAAATTGGTTCTTGTTGAATCCTAGCTGACATTGTAGTTGGTTTCAATCAACTACTTTATAGGAATGACTAAAATTAACGCTCCCTCTCTCTTTCTATGTGTTATGCGGTTTATGGCAACGTTATGCTAAAACAACAGTTCCCACATGATCACCAATGTTAAGCAATGTCAAGCCTAGTCAGTACTTAGATGGGTGACCACTTAGGAATACCAAGTGCTGTAAGCTTGGATGTGCAGGTGGTGTAATGGATAATAGCTCAGAATTGGAAATCGGAGAACTGAGTTCCAATTCCAGCTAAATTCCTTATATTCCCAAATATCTTTGGGAAAGATACAAATCTGCCTATTCTCCCCTAATCTAAAGGCTGTCTCAATTACCAGAAAGAGACAGTTAAAGTTTTGGGGTCACATAATGAGGAAAGAAGGCATTGAAAATTCAAGACTCACAAGGCAGATTAAACCATTATATGTCACTGAACAATATTTTTTTTTCATTTTTTATCAATAGTTGACAGAATATTTGAGAAAGAGGGGAGTTCTAAATAAAAAAAAACTATAATGACATAACGAGGAAAGAAGGCTTTGAGAGTTTAATACTCACAAGATACATCAGAAACAAGAGATGAATGTGAATAAGATAAAAGACAGCTATAAAGGAGCAAGAATTACTGAGAAAAAAAAACAAAAGACAGGAAGTTATGGAGAGCCATGATCACCCACATACTGAAGAACCTAACATATAGTGAGAGCGTAAGGGAGAGAGTGTGTTAATTTTAGTTGATCCTACAAAGCAGTTGACTGGAACCTACAACAATACTATCAAGATTCAATTCAACAAAAACAGTCTAAAAAATGACAGATCTTCCGGAAGCCATATAAGTGGTCTGGTAGTTGTATAATATACATTTTTTTTTCTTTTTAAATTGGTGAATATTTCCATGCTTGAAATGAAAAGTTGCTCCGAGACTTATTCATTATGCAAAGATCTCAACCTAAAACATACTTACATTATTTACATGCAGACTACTATCCTCATATTTGTTGTTACTATCACAGTTGATCTTCATCAGGTGCTTGTTGAAATAAATACAATATAAAATCCCTTAATAAATAAAGAAGCAGCTGCAATAAAAAGTAAAGCAGTCAAGCTTGACAAGTAGCAGAATCAGCACTTATCAATAGGCAAGTTACTTTTAAGGTTTAAGGCTCCAAATTCTATCCTCAGAATTGTCCCATGTTACAATAGTTCAATGGATTAAAGCAATGGTTTGTGAATTCCATAATATCATAATTGTTAATTCAATCCCTGGGCCAGGCAATATCTACTTGGACTCAGTGGACACAGGGTGATATATAACTGAGCAATACTAAATAAGAACTCGACATGATATCCCTATCCGTGGGCAGTGGAAGGTGAACAATCTACCCCATAGATTATATAAAGGGTTCAGTTAATTTGTTGAAGGTTAGCTGTATCGACAAACATTTGATGAAGGCCAGAGGCAACAATGGTCGAAACGTGATCAGATGGGAATAGTCCATGTATAAATAAGGTAAACAATGATAAGTCCTCATCCCAGAAATTCAAGACCTTACAAACTAGATGATATTCAATCAACTAAAGAAGAATGGCTCCCAGATTTCAACAAAATAAGACTGAAGGAAATAGTTTTATCCAGACTCTAAATAGGACATACACATCTAGCACACTCACATCTACTCAAAAATGAAAACAATGCGACACATGTTTTTTTAAACATATACTGTAAGTTTTTTATCAAACCCAAACAAAATATTTGCAAACAATAAAAAATAACTCTCAAAACATGAAATCAAACAATATATCTTTATGAAAACACCCAACAAAAACTACATAAAATCTTTTATTATATTTTGAAAACTTGAAAAAGGATCTTTTCTCATAAAAGATCCTGACTAAATATAACAACACAAATTCTAATAACCAACTTATATGAGAAACCAAATACAAAATAACTTTTATTAGAAACCAATATCTCTGATAACAGATTAAAAATAAAATAAAATCTTTTTTGGATGCAAAGTTTAATACTCACAAAACATTATTAACACTATTGTCCATATCATTTTGACCATTGTAGCCTCTGATCTTCATCAGGTGTGTGTCTATCTGAGTAACCTGATGAAATAGTCCGAATGTAAATAGTGTTAATAATAACTTCACATTTCAAAAATTCAAACAGAAATTATGAAAACAACCATGATTTAAAACCTTTATCTGGCCTTAAATAAACCTATAGTGGTTGAAGGTCTGTTAAGCAGAAAGCAAACAATACCAAACCAGAAATTCAGTCAGAAACAAAACTATTATAAATTATAGTGTGGTACCAAAACTTTTTGCCTTAAGATTCAATCTGAAAAATCCAATATTTATAAGTACATTTAGTTTTTTTTAATCATTTCACCACAAGCAAGATAATAAATCACCCACATACTGAGAGAATATGAGAAAATGAAAATGTTATTAAGGAGAGAGAACAATAAAAGAACAGGAATTAAGAGGACAGAAGATAACAATTGACATTGCATTTAAATTGGAAGAGAGTTGAGAATGCACCTAGCATAAATTGTATGGCTACATCTCACCATTTCAAGTGTAAAAATGATGAGACCATGCCCACAATCTAGTACCACACTTAAATTCATAGAGTCTAGGTATCATAGAAGAAAGTTCATCAGAACAATTACCATGAAAGTATTTATATAAAAGACAGAGAAGCTACATTACAATGGTGGGAAAGTGACAGGAGCAAAGATGTCAGAACTGTTGGGTCTGTAAAATTTGTCTGTTCCCAGGTAGGTCACATGATATGTGGTTGTCTCTCATTGGTTAATTAAGCCATATGGATTTGGAAAAAGCTGACCATGAAGAAGAAGAGATTTGGACCTGCTCTGAAGTGACACGCAAGAAATTCTCTCTGCAAACATGGTACCAGTTACTAAGGTATTAAAATATACAATGATATTTCACTCCAGCAGATGACTAAGTCCATGATATATATATATATATATATATGTGTGTGTGTGTGTGTGTGTGTTGTAGCATACCTATAGATGATAATGGTTATGTCCCCATTCATATAAATACAGTAGTAAATACTGTATGTTGGTCTGCAGTTGGAGATTTATTGTTGAATTCATTTGACTCACTTCTAGCAGTTGACTACGACTTCTACACACTGCTGGCAAATCTTATATGTGTTGTTCATGTCCTAAATATTATCACTCATTACCAACCTTTGTTTGATTATTCGATTCAGTAACCTTTATTAGGTTACAACAATAGGAAAGGTCATTGTGTTTATGTTAATCATGTCATTCATGTTTTTAAACATAAATAAATAACTTTCTTAAATGTTAATAAAGTTTTCATTCTTATTCATGTTAGTCCCAAAGTAACATAGGACTAGCACAAAAGGATGAAAGAATGTTATTATGAGAGTAGCAATATATAAATTAATTCTTGTCAATTATTAGAAAGGAATATTTGACATTTAGTGAATATAATACAGAAAGAAGATTAGGAGAATTTAACTCACAAGACTAACAATAGGAAAATAGTAAGTAACCTGCTTGATAAGGTTGCACCAGTGGATATATTACAGTGGTAGGAAAGTGACTGTAGCTGAAAGTGCATATTGATAGCAGAAATTATCTGTTATAAATTGGTTTATTCAGTTTTCTAAACTTAGGTGATACAGTTACCAGATTCCAGGTGTTGTATCCTCCATCCTACCTCAGGTAGATCTCACCTTCTTAGGGAGATTTATTTTATTCAGTTCACACCATACGTTGTACTAGCAGTTTTTATCTGACACCGTAAAATGTTACGAAATCAAAATATTAAACTGAAATAGACTTCTCCGATCAAGACTCTTGTATTGATGTTATATATGTTGCCTAACTTGTTCAGAGATATCTAAACTATTGTTGTATAGCTCCCTTATTCTGGGGGTCTCTTAGTCACTGCATCAATTAATACAATATTGTATAGATCCCTTATTCTGGGGGTCTCTTAGTCACTGCATCAATTAATACAATATTGTATAGCCCCTTCTTCTGGGGGTTGATTTTGGGTTGATGGTCTTGATTCACTCATAACATTGCCTTCTTTCTTGGTCATTCATTGCCAGTTGTTTTGTTCTGAGTCAAAAGAGGACTTCAACAAAAGGGATTTTAAATCTTACCAGTTGATTAACCACGTCGATAGGTACATCTTCTCCAGTGGGGGTTACTACACCCCATATTTGGGAGCTGCTTTCAAACACAAAAATCTCACACATCCATTTCCTTTGACATGTAACAAACAACTCTTGAAAGACCCTTCCCACTAGGGAGGAGGGGGTTTGCACAAATGCAATCTAACATGCCCAGCTAGCTTGACATCCTAACAGCAACTCCCATAAAACGTTAATCTAAAACTCATTCACACATTTGGCTCAGCCAATCAAAATCGACTTCCCTATTTTGTCTACCATCTGACCTGAAAAGTCAACCTCAGAAGGTTTGAGCCAAAATATACTGCCACTAAAAAATAATAGTCTGAAGCTATTATTTAACACTATCGTCTATATATTTCTCAGATCGATGATGAAAAATACATTCAAGGGAATGAAACTGCTCCAATTGAACGGAAAAAATTCCTAGCAATAAAAAGACCCATTCAAAGATGGGTTATACTGCTAGTATGTTAAATAGTGGAACATTTTTAAAGAAATAAGGAATTTTTTTTAAATTTGTTAATCTGGCAGATTTTATCACTTTAAACACTATTTTTAGTGAATACTCATATTTGAATAGACGCTCCATTTATTTATTAAACAGTATATTTATTTATTTTCATCTACTGGCCTGAATGTTCAAGAAATTTTATTAAAGAAAAATATGTGCTTTCCGGCAGGATTTGAACTTGTGACCCCCTAGACAGAGGGAACCATCATTGGATTCAATGTGACCAACTCAACGACAAAGATCTTTTGCCAATCAATCAACAAGGCTGAATAGATGAAAATAAATAATTATTCTACTACCTGAAAGAACTAGAAGTCCTACTAGGATTTATTATCAGTGGACATCATCTTAATAACATAAGATATGCAGATGATGCAGAGTTGATAACAGACACAGAAAGGAAATTAGACAATCTCTTACATAAGGTAGCAAAAGAAAGCAAGAAGAAAGGACTAAGCATCATTTATTGTAAGAAGGCAGAATATATGGTTGTCAGCAAGAGGAACAGCCCAAGTTATGAATTACAGATTGGAAATACAAAAATCAAACAAGTACAAAAATTTAACTATCTGGGAAATGTCCATTAAATTGAGGTTCCACTATATTAAGAAAAAAACATTCCATTCGAAACAAAGGAAAGAGTCCTGAATTGTGATGTGATATTGGTCCTCCTCTATGCTAGTGAATGCTGAACAATCTCCTCATAGATGAAAAAAAGACTTGAGGCAATAAAAATGTGGTTTTACAGAAGGATGATGAGAATAACATAGGCTGAACATAGTTTAAAAAAAAACAAACTATAATTCAACATGAAGAATTTCAACAAAACTATTCGATATTTCCTTTTCAGTATTAGAGGCATGCAAAGATTTCCGGTATTTTTTTTTTTACTTAAAAAAAAACAAAAAAAACAAACAGAGAAGAAAAAGAAATGGCTTCCTACTGTGTGTTCTGTATCTACTTTTAGTAGAAGTGAGTTCTGGGATCTTTTACCCACACTCACTATTTATTGAATTCAATTCAGACAAGAGATTATTCAACAAAATTTTCTTTTCACACTATTTACAGTGTTTGGACTCTTGTCCTAATCTTTACGGTCTTAATCTCAATATCACAACTATTGTACACACCAATCTTCTTCAGGTGAAGGGCACATGGCTCAGTGGACAAAAGCATTGGCTGATTGATCCAAAAAGTGACTTGACTCAAAGAGTTAAGAGTTCAATCCATAACCTTAGTGGAGAAAAAAAAACTTGGACAGTTATCAAGACAAATTAACTAAAACTGAGATATTGTTACAAAATGCAAAGGCCAGAGCAAGAAAGGTCAGTAAATGGTTGGAGCTCCTTGTGGGTATGGTATTTTGACAGTGATGGATTACCTTTGTCTGGGTTTGGGAAATGGAACAAATTCAACAGAAAGCTGCAAGAATTCTAAAGCGTGGATACATCTCCTACACTCGGGTTAGCAACCAGTTAAGACCACCCACAGAAGGACACAGATCCAAAGTGTGACATGCATTCCTATGGCATCATTCCGACCACTGCCTCTTAAAATCCAAGCTGCCACCACTCTCTCCTAATAAAATGAATAAGAAAAAGAAATCGTCCTTTTCGTTGATTCCATTTTATCTAGTAGTGTGGGGACTTAGAGATGATTTAGATTGCAACAATATCCAAAGGTATGGTACGTGGAATTAGAACAATCTATGGCCGAGGACTAGATAAAGGGATCAGTTTGAAATTCCAACAAAGATCACCTGAAGAAGGCCAATGCATACAACTGTTGAAATGTTGTGAATATGACAGTTAATGATGAGAACAACAGTCGGAACAACGTAAATAGTTACAATACCTCATCTCAGAAAAATATAAACAATTTTTTTTTTGAAATCACTGAAGAAATTTCCAAATTAAATGTTGCTTTTTACCTATCATGAAGATTTCTTCATTTATGAAGAAGAAAATCCATACTTTTATTTCTGCCTTGTAGTTGATCTTCAAAATTTCCCTTGTTCACAAGAATATAAAATATTTCAATAGCATGTTGCTGAACAGGGAGCACTCTATTTTCAAAGAAAGGATTAACTTACCTCACATTCCATATCATAAGCTCGATCATCATCATAGTAAGGATCCTCAAATTCGTATGCATGGGCCATTTCAATATCAGTCAAGCCCATATCAGCACTGGGTGAAAATGCCACTGGACGTCGAGATGCTGGCTGATATAATCTAAGAATAAAAGATGAAAGGAACTATGAAGTAGACACTTACAGGTAATCAATATTCAATTAAGAAACAAGAAAGAATGGGTGATTTTCTTAATATTTTCATGATGCAAAGGAACTCGAAAGTATATACTTGTAGGTAATCAATATTAAATTAACAAGAAAAGAAGAATGGGTGATTTTGTTAGGATTTTCATGATGAAAGGTACTTTAAAGTGTATACTTGAAGGTAATCAATATACAATTAGCAAACAAGAAAATATGGGTTATTTTCATAATGTTTTCATGATTTTTTTATTTTTTTTAGTAAATTTCATGCAATACAAGGCTTAAGAGCCACTCAAAATAGACATGTACTAAATGAAGATAATGATTGATTATTGATTTGAAGGAATTATGATTGAAGTATTTGGGGAAGCATCCATACAGGAGTCTGTTTTGACAAGTGGCAGGTTTTAGGGAAAAGCTTTCAGGGTTGTGGCTATCCCTCGGGGTCAATGATAATGGTTTTGGTTTGTTTGCCTCATTCAGTTGGCTTTGTGTACAGGTTGTTCCTGATTGGGAATTAGGCCTTGGTTGTTGGTGTCTTTTCCTTTATAACATTTTTTTTCCTCTAGTTTGGCTGACCATTTGGATCCGAAGATTTTTAGTCCCTCCCTGACAATGGATCTCCAGAGATTCCTGTCGATTGCACTGGATTTCCAGCTACTGAAGTTGATGTTATATTTCTTCATGTTTTGTTTTAAACATCCACAAATCTCTTCTTTTGACCTTTTTTTTTTCAATTTCATTCTTTGAGTTGTGGATAAAAAGATTTGCTTTGGTTGCTGGTTGTCATCCATTTGTACCAGATGTCCTCTTCATCGGTTGATTTTTTTATGATAATGGCTTCAATACTGGTCATTTCAGCTTGTTCCAATACCCCAATGTTAGTTCCTCTGCCTTCCCAAATGATGTTAAAGATAATTTGAAGACAATGTGGATTAAATTTTTCCAGGTATTTCAGATGTTGTCATTAAGTTGTCCAGGTCACAAAGTCATACAAGAGAGTTGAAATCAGTACTGCCTTGTACACTAACATCTTTGTGTCTGTTCTAATGTCATGATCATGGAAAACTATTTTGAAGGTGACCAAAGGCTGAGCTTGCAGATTTAAGACAGTGTTGTATCTCATCTTGAAGGTCAATTCTGGAAGAGAGATGGCTACCAAGATAAAGAAAGTGATCTACATTCTCCAAATCTGTTTCACCAAATTAAGACTTTAGTTCTGTCCGAACAATTTCAGAGTAGAACTTGCTCCTTACAATTGGTATACAGAGGAAATGAGGTTGATTTGTGGACATAGCATAGTGAGCCTGAACTGGTGCAGCCAAAGAACATAGTTCATTAAATGAAAGGAACTCGAAAGTATATGCTTGTAGGTAATCAATATTCAATTAACAAGCAAGAAAGAATGGATGATTTGTTCGGATTTTCATGATGAAAGGGACTCTAAAGTATACATTTGCAGGTAATCAATATGTCAGGAAAAAAGAAAATGTAATTGAGATGGTTCATGTTTCAATCTTTAAAGAAATCATTTAAAATGTGTTATGTACCTTTTTAAGTAGTTTTAATCTTGTATTTACAGCATTTCCAATTTCAACTCTAAGCCATACTCTAACATCTTTCCTTCTTTGAAGAAATTTTCAAAATATAATTACTGTAACTATAAAACACATTTTTTTGTAGAATATTTAATCTACAAAATTAGCAATCCAAATTATACAAAAAACGTTAAAAATTTTCAGAAGCCGAAGTATTTCAAAATTATTGGGATCCAACTCACCAACCTTTTGGCAAAAATTGAGCAGTTGCATTGCACAAATTTGTCAGCCGTTATAAGAAATGCAGAAACATTCCAACACAGCATGACAAAACCTCACCTAATAACTGAATACCAGTAGATAAAATTAACAGACTGACTCAGTAGAAATGGGTATCAATGAATGTTAGCTACTTTCCAATTTCTATTAACCACTAAAATCCGAGAATTTATAGTCAGGGAATTTTCTGATGACACTTAATTTATATATTTCTGAAAAGAAACTATTTTCATTTGCTACAAAAGCATGACAGCCATGTTAGATATCTCAGCACAAATTGAGTCATATTTCAATTATGGAAATTGTAATATTGGTTTTTTCCTTATAAGGAAATATTTGGCATTCATAGACAAAGCAGCAAGAGCTACTTTCAGATGAAATTTATGAAATTTTACTTTTTAGAAATATATTTCAAGAAAAAAGGTATCACTAGTCTAGTAACAGTTATCGCATTTTACAGCAATCAGGGGACTTCTTCATTATGTCATTATGTTTAAGCAGATTGTCATGGAAAGCTGGGAGAGCCAGCTTTCCATGACGATCCGCTTAGGGGAAACCTGGGTAGGTTTGTCTGGCTCACTAGGTTTCACTATATATATATATATATATATATATAGTATTGTAATATTTTTTTGTTTAAAAATATGAAGGAATATCGAAGGAATCATATTTTTAAGCAAAAAAAATATTACAATATAAGCTCTACTTCTGTATGGAGCACTGTCTTCTTAAAAAAATAAAAACAAAATACTAAGGAACTCTGGATTATGCACCCAATGTGTTCTTTTCTATTTTCTGCATACCTGCGCATTTATATATATATATATATATATAGATGTGTGTGCATATATATATATATATATATATATATATAAATATATGAATATAAGATTTTAAAAACTGAGTGCTGTTGTTAAGAAAATTGTGCTCAATGTAATATAACTGAGCTACTGAATATATATTGATCCCTCACTGGTAGCACAACTCAAAGTCTCACACACACATACACATATATATATATATATATATATATATATATATTTATACAACTGAGGTATATCCCTCTTTCTTTCATATATATATATATATATATATATATATATATAGATACACCTAGTGAGCCAAACAAACCTACCTAGGTTTCACCTAAACGGATCGTCAGGTTGTATTGAGCTCTTTTGTTAGTTAGTTGTTTACTCGTATCGGTGTTTTTTCTTTGGGCTTCAGACCTGCATCTGTGCGATATTTTATCGGCAGAAGTTCATGTTTGTAGCTCTTTCTTTTTTAAAACCTTTTTTTGCCTTTCGAGATTGATTTGATTAGCAAATCAAAAATTCGAGGGATTTTCTAAACGAGTCTAGTTATCTATCTATCTATATATATATATATATATATATATATTTATAGCAAAAAAACAAAAATTACCTCTATGTTGAGGTAATTTTTGTTTTTACTTTTGCTGTAAAAAATACATATGTTCTGTTATAATAAATACATCAAGCTGGATCAATCTTTATAATTAATATTACTAGGATCTGCCCAGATTAAATACCAACGGATCAATTACCCATACTATAAACACATTATATATATTACATATATAGAAACACACACCATATATATTACATGTAAAAATACACATTACATATGTAGAAAACACATATCATATATATATATTACATATGTAGAAACACACCATATATATATATATATATATATATATATATACACACACATATATATATATATATATATATATATATACATACATTATATATATATATATATATATATATAGTTATTTATATACATTTCACAAATTATATAGAATATATATATTCTTAAAGCCTACATACTCATAGATGCTTGTATGCAAGTCTCACCCAGCAAATATATATATATATATATATATATAAATGGGTTTTATAAAAGCTGTTTTCAAAAGAGGATGAATACCGTAATTAGTGTCAAGTTTTATATATAGTATTAGAAAATTGTTTTATATAATGGATCACTGTTATGAACAAGAAGAGAAAGGTAAAAAAAATTAATGAATGAATGAAGAAATGAAAATAATAGAAAATGAAGGAAAAAAAAAAATCATTGAATGATTTAATAAACGAAACAGAATTTAAAGATAGTGTGAAGGATGTACAATGTCATCATCATTAGATTTAAGACCAAGATATTTTTTCTTTGTTTCATATTGCATTATTGTTGTCAACAGGCAAATATAATTTTTTTTTTTTAACTTCATTATCTGTGGTGCTATAGTTTTCTTTTTATTCAGTTTCTTTTCTTAATTTAGATATATTTATTGTATTATATATAAATAAATAGTTTTTATTTAATTTTTAAATTTATATGCAAATTTTAAGCTTTATTTTTGTATTACATTCTTATTAGAAATTTTAAAAATTTATTTTATTTTAGTTTATATTTTTATTATTGATAATCTTTTTTTTCCAACTTTTTCTATTATTTATCTACTGAAGATTTACTTTTAAAAAAAAAAATACAGCTTCAAAAGAATATTAGGATTCATTGATGACAACTAGCATTTCCTTTCCATGACAGTAAATGGGTTTTGACAATGGTACAAAGTGGTTTACGACAAAAGAGGATGTGTTGAAAATGTTTTTGTCAACATATAAAAGAAAGTAAAAGAAAGAAAATATAGCAAAGACTTTGGGGTTCAAACCAAGATTGCCATTGAGAGAAGAGGAGGAGATTTAATTGTTTAAAATAATTGGAAAAATGTATTAGAAAATTGTTTTCAAAATATTTGCAGAGGGGGCCATTGAAACCAAATGAATCGATGCAATAAAATAATAATGAGAAGAAAAAAAGATATAAGATGGAGAAATTATGAATAAAGAAGAGAAAAAAGGGTAATAAAAAATTAATGAATGAATGAAGGAAATAGAAAATAATGAGGATAAAAATGAAAAAAAAAAAATAATAATAATAATAATTGAATGATTTAATAAAGGATAAAGAAGAAGGAGGAAAGGCAGAATTTAAAGATATGATGGTGAAAGGATGTAGAAAAATGAAGAAGATGAGGATAAAGAAGAAGGAAAAGGCAGAGGGGAATAATTTAATAATAATAATTGGAAGAAGAA